GCAGTCGGCATCTGCAATCAAAGCCTACATTATTTTTAACTTCCTATCTGAATAGATATTCCTATTTACTTCAAAATTTCCTTTCTCTTCTACATAGTCAAGCATTTTACTGACAAGATCGTCATTCCACTTCCTTGGTTCCCTTAACATCCTCCTTTTTGCCCTTGCTAAGTGTTTTTAAAAAAAGGGATTAGAATAATGTTTCAAGTGCCAAGTTTTAGACGATACCTTTCTGTGGGTACATTTATTAATTTTCCAACAAATAAAAAAAAGTACGCAAAAAAAAACGTGTAAGAGTACGTATGCACAAAAAGCGTACTCAGAGTTATACACTACGATGTATGTGTACGATGATGAGCACTATGAAGGTAAGGTATTGCCATATCAAAGATAATAATATATGAGTAAAAAAGGCTTTTATGTAAGAATAAAATGTACAACCAGGGACCGTAACAGTTATCATTGAAAAAATAAAAACAGAAGTCAAGAATCTTTTACGTGCACCAATCTTTAAATACATTTTGTATGAAATGACAAAAACAACTAACTTACATCATGAAAAATTCATTTGATATTTTTGTTTTTAAAAATATTCGGCAAGCCAGTGCGAATTATACTTTATTTTCAAAAATAAGAGTGATTCTAAGAGTTATTCTATATTTTTATTTTTATAAGGCAAAAATAACAGTTATTTGTTCGATTTCAAACAAAAAGCTAAATGTAAGACTTATTTTTAATGAATATAATATAAAGCGAATTTATTATTTTTTGAGTTTTATTTTAAAACGCTCACATATAAAAAGCATGCATAATATTAACAAGAAAAGTTCTTAGAATGATAACTATATACTTAAATATGAGTCTAGATAACTTTTTGCTCCTGCTTTTTTTCTTAAAAATTCTTGAAATAACTTTTATTTTAGGCCCCTGAGTACAACTGGTTGCTATTTTTGTAACAATAAATAAATAATAAATTTGAGTTTTTCTGGTTTTGTTGTGAAGTTTTTTAAACGCAGGCTGTTTTTTAAACAACTTAAGCTTATTAATATAAATGCTAACTTAGAGTTTTATTTATCGAGGTTATTTTCTATATCTTATTTTGGATTCACACTTGAGTTTTGTTTGTAATTTAAGTTGTCGAAAATTTTAATTTTGCATTGAAAGTACTAACAATTGACAGCTAAAATAACAAACATGACATCTAAAATTATAAACAACACTCTCCTGTGAATCAATTATTAAGATTTAGAGCGCTCCATTTTTTTATTCTCTCAGCGATTTTTTAAATTTTAGTATCGGCCAGATTTTAGTATCGATCCTCCTTTCATTTCACTTCATTACCTATTCCCTACATTGTGTGGCAGATTGAGACGCTGTTAATGTTTACATGAGCATAACATTAATTAATATGTAAATACTTTACTCGGTATCTATTCTTTGAATTAAAACGTTATAAATGCTTAAATATTATAATTGAGAAAAAATTGTTCAGCACGGACTATATTGTTTCGTTATCCCAGCAACCGACTGATGTTCATAAAAATCTTACGTTTCTATTTTTGACCTAATTAAAATGATATGTTTTTAAAAATTAAATCTATAATTATGCATTGAGAAAATTTTTTCATAACGGTGTACATAATACAGGAATTTGTGAGACTTATAACTTGTGTGAGACAGTATGAACCCCAAATAATGGTCTTCTCTTTATTTCATTCTACTATTTTTCTATCACGACGTACGGATAAATCATACTAGATGTACATATGTATGTATTTATTATCCAATTCAGGCGGCGTATTACAATTATTACAATTTTATTGATTCCCTTATATTTTTAACTAATAACATACAAATTAATTTTTAATGAGTCCTGTTACCACAGTTACATTTATCATTTAACCATAACATAAAAAACATGAAAATATTCCTTAATATTCTATTCTATTCTATTAAACGACTTTTTGTACTGTTTGCCAGTTTAGTTGATGTAAGGATTTTGTTTTCTTTTCATAAGTGATCCTTCAATCGTTTTCTAGGAAAATAGATATTTCCTTCAGCAATGAAGCACGAGCAAGTTGTTGTCGATTATTGGTATATGTTTAAGACGTCAGCAACATGTCTGTTGCTGGCATTTTTCGGTTACATTTTGATAAAGTAAGCCCAATATATAAATTTAATTATAAGCATTATAATCATTACTGTTCAGAATGGTGCAAACAATATTTTGGTTGCCGGGATATCTGCAAAATAATCAAAAACGATTAGAGGAGCTTGCGGCTCAATACTCTGTGGAATTAAATAAAGAAAATGAAGAAGAGAAAAATGTTGCAGCCCCGAACAAAGAATCATCATCAATAGCCAGCCCCGAGATTAATGAAGATGTGATAGTAACTGAAGACAAAAAGGAAAAATAAAACATTTTAATTGTTCAGTTTGTTTAATTATAATAAATATAACTTTTAAAGCTATTTTCCTAATTGAATTACATTTGTAAATATTATCTGCCTAATCCAATTCGACGACAACAGGTAAATCTTCTGGATCATCAATCAGTAAGTCTCGGAAATCCCATTTCAATTCTTTATACAATTTCGTTGATAAATGTTCTGCACTAAGACTTAAATTTGCACTATGTAAATGTTTAAGCAAGACTCTTATGTCTTTATAAATGGTGTTGCGGTTAGTAGGTTCCATCAACTCCTCCGGTAAATACGGTATTTCTAGGGCAAGAAGCTCACTATATTGCTTGTAAAATAATTTATATTTAGTAGTTGCAGTTTCGGAGTAAGAGAACAAGTGTATGACGCGTCGCCAGTGGTCCAATGACTCAATAGAATGACCAATCAAATAGAAAACAAAGCACAGCTGAATTTCTTCCAATAAAATGTGAAAGCTTGAAATACTATTAAACAAATCATCAATTGCTGCAATACAATCTATACTATGACGGGTGACTTCTTCCGGAGTAGCGTTTTGAGGTACGCGATTGGGTAAATGTATAAAGATTGGCATAGAGCCACTAAGAGGCTTTAAATTAGGCAATAAATCATTTTCATTTAAAATTGTCTTTACATTTAACATCTTAATACTTTTAATAGGGCCACGTGGCCTCTCAGCGTCAGGACAAGATGAAAGACTTACATTTGTGCGAATAATGCCTGATGCAGGAGTGCAACGTGAAAGTGTACCTTCGTTTACAAGATTTGTTAAGCTTTTCCATTTATTTAAGAAACGATAATCATATGGTGCCAAAAAACGGTCCAAAGACTTTATATTCTCACGGATATGTGCTTTTTCGGTATTTGGGTCTTCAATTTGGCGTTCTTGTAATTCTTCCTCCTGTCTGTTCCATTCACGCACAAGTATTTCTTTACTTTTAAAATAATGTATAAATCCAACACGTGGGGCAGCATCACCGAATTGTCCCTGTGATGAGCACCAGACGTAATGTGGTCCTGGAGGTATTAGTTTTATTCCTCGGAAGTTTTCACCGATTGTGTAGGAACATAAGTCGACGCCGAATTCAGTACCAACTGGAACTCCTGCAATGATTAGGAAAGCGCCAACTTCGAAAAGTTTGTTTGCTATATTTTGATCAATATCAATGCAATTATCAGTATTCATTTTATTTAATTTTCAACGGATGTTTGTAAAATAATACTCAAAACATTTATTTTAACTTTAGTGTTGTTGATATATAAGCGGCGACAGTTCTTATTATTAAATGTTGTTTGTTGAATCGAAATCAGCTGTTCCTTCTGACACATTCAAAAATTAGGTATAAATACTTTAAAATAAAATATTTTGATAAAATATTATTACAAATATTAGTGTGCAGTTGATTTCGGGCTATTTATTTGTTATTTAAACATTTTCTCAAAATGTAAAAATAACGTTTACTTCTCCCATCAAATACGATAAAAAAATAACATACAAAACCATATATATGTATGTATATAACAATGAATGTAAAAATAAAACAGACAACATTAAAAAGGAATATATTAATTTAGTTTATTAAGTTACAAATAATTTTTTGATATATAATTCAGCTACAACCGGGAAACGGCTCAACTCTGTTTTTCCTTAATACAAATGCAATTTTTCGATTCATGTCCTCATTGTAAATAGCTTTGCATTTTTCAAAATTTATACGTCGACGTACCTATAACCAAAATAATTCGTTTAATTACATATTTAACAAATATTATAAATAGTTCTTACCTGAAAGGGTTTTTCATAATACCTTGTGCGCCGAAATTGATCAAATATTTCCTCTTTTCCTAGAATTCTATTTAATAAGCGACATGCTTCTTCAACATTATTGTTTTGAACAAGTACTGTTCTTGCAATAAATCTTGCATGCTTCATATTTATTGATTATTTATTATTTATTCACTTATTTTTATTGAATTGTATTTTCATTTATTAAATAACCAATAGATATTAACTAAAAGTTAAGGCATTGCCAGAAATAATCCAGTTCTGGAATACGTTAGCGTATGAAATGGTATAAAACAATTTTTGTATTTTGAACTAGACATAACATTCCAAAACATATATTATACATTTTTGTAGCTGTTCTTCGATTCCAAAAAATGTTTACTATTTATATTACTTGATTTAATAGAATTTAATTTTTGCTTTTTTTGATATTAAGGTCGTGTACGAGTTAGGCTAAGTTGCGTTCTAAATGAGGGAAATTCAAAGTTGTGCCGATAATGTAGTGATGTGTCGATACGTCACTACATTACGTGTGCGAGTTAGGCTAAGTTGATGCTAAACCAAATGGGAGATTTTTTGGAATTTTTTACACTGCACACATTTAGCCATTTATCAACACGTATCGACACATCACTGCATTATCGGCACAACTTAGAATTTCCCTCATTTAGAACGCAACTTAGCCTAACTCGCACACGACCTAAATAAGATCTTACAATTCTTATAACAGCACGTGTTATGTTTCATGATATATTCATCTTCCTAGTACTGAGATAGTCATGCTAATGTTACTCCACCATTCTTACGGGTGAGAACAATATTTTGTAAACATAAGTTGTAATTTAACGTCATTTTTAAGACTGAAGTGACTATAATGGCCGTTTGTGAATTCGAGTAAATTGATGGTAATTTGAGAGAAATAGTAAATTATATCGGTATGGCGGGGAATGTTGGCATTTACTAAAATTTCGAGTAGGGTAAGTAAGATAAAAATTAGGTGTTACCGTTGTGAAAATTTTATAAGATGTTTAGGACGTATGTGAGTTAGGCTAAGTTGATGCTAAACCAAATGGGAGATTTTTTGGGATTCTTTACTCTGCACACATTTAGCCATTTATCGACATGTATCTACAAATCACTACATTATCGACACAACTTTAAATTTCCCTTATTTAAGACGTGTGCGAGTTAGGCTAAGTTGATGCTAAACCAAATGGGAGATTTTTTGGGATTTTTTGCACTGCACACATTTTGCCATTTATCAACACGTATCGACACATCAATACATTATCGGCACAACTTAGTATTTCCCTCATTTAGAATGCAACTTAGCCTAACTCGCACACGACCTTAGAACGCAACTTAGCCTACCTCGCAAACGACCTAAATGTGTGCAGTGCAAAAAATCTTAAAAAATCTCCCATTTGGTTTAGCATCCACTTAGCCTAACTTTCACACGTCTTAAATATAATGGGAAAATATATGCAGCAGATTGACGATATAATAAAAGCTTTTGATTTTTTAATTAATGAATTGCTATTTGTATACACTGATGCTAGCACTTCGATAAAATTGAAAAATTTGGCATAATTGCCTAAGTCACATCTAGTGTATATGGAGTTTGGTAAGGCAGTTCATATGATAGCATGTGTTATCGACACACATGTTCCATTCTAGAAATTTCAAACGCCTTCATCTTTTTACTTTTCTTTCAATCGCATTATAAAATTTCTACTGGCAGGCCACGTTTCTTTCGTGCGTTAAAATTTGTAAAAATACTTAAATACAAGTGGATTAATTTTAAAGTTCTTGTATATTCAATTTTTTTTGCAAGTAATTATTTCAAGTTTTAATACTTCGATACGGCATTATTGTTTTCCAATTTTAGATTTTAAAAGGTAATTAAAATAAAATTCATATTCTATCTTAGAAACTAACACGGAAAGTAGAAATGTGTATTTTTTGAATTTGATTTATGTAATGAGCAAGCAAAAAACAAAGGAAAGAGCATAGACTAAGTTCAAGTGCAAAGAAAAAAAATTAGCAAAAACAATTTCCCGAATATTCGTATTTAGAAAAATTGACATCTGCTCTTGGTTTTGTAGCTGGAACGCTGATTCGAAAAAAAAATCGATAATTGCTCAAGTGAGATTTGTGATTAAATATTATATTGTAAATGAATAATTTAATAATTTTAAATACCAGAACTTTGAATTTGTTTAATTTTATAATCTATGTAGTTTTTTTTGGATGTGGAATTAAATAGAAAACCTTTGTCATCGGTACATAACATACATATATACCTGATATACAAGCAAATGTATGTATAGTATATGTATTTTCCGCATTTGTGTTTCTATGCTTTGCATCAGTGTACTTAGCAATACAAGGTTGTATTTTAGTGCATGTATGAAGACTTCGATATTTACAATTAAAAAAAAATATCTTTTTTTTTACGTTAACTTAGCAACGATAATTTTTTTCATTTTTTAAATTTCAACAAAATTAAAATTGATCGCTTTAAAGTGTTGTTTCAAATTTCAATAAAATTTTTATTTCTTTATAATACATTAAAATATCTTCTATATAGATTTGATTATTCCTTTAGATTATATATTTCTACAATTTTAACGAGGCGTCGTAATCTGCGAAAATGGTAAAAGAAACTGCTTACTACGATTTGCTTGGTGTAAAACCGAATGCGAACTCGGAAGAACTCAAAAAAGCATATAAGAAGATGGCGTTGAAATATCATCCCGATAAAAATCCTAATGAAGGTGAAAAGTTCAAAGCAATTTCACAAGCTTATGAAGTGCTCTCTGATCCAGATAAAAGGCAGATCTATGATGAAGGTGGCGAAGCGGCCATTAAGAAAGGTGGAGCTGATGGTGGAGATTTCAGAAGTCCTATGGACTTCTTTGAAAAGTTCTTTGGAGCCGGTTTTGGTGGTGGTGGCCGAAGGCGTGAGCGTCGTGGTAAAGATGTAGTTCATCAAATGTCTGTTCAGTTGGAAGAATTGTATAATGGAGCTACGAGAAAACTGGCTTTACAAAAGAACGTAATTTGTGACAAATGTGAAGGTAGAGGTGGAAAGAAGGGTTCTATAGAGAAATGTATACAATGTCGTGGTAATGGTGTAGAAACACGCGTCCAGCAGATAGGACCAGGTCTTGTGCAACATGTCGAACAGGTCTGTCGCAAATGTATGGGTACTGGTGAAAATATATCTGAAAAAGATCGTTGCAAAAATTGTAATGGGCGCAAAACAGTAAGAGAACGTAAGGTCTTGGAAGTTCATATAGAAAAGGGTATGAAGGATGGGCAAAAAATAATATTTAATGGCGAAGGGGATCATGAACCGAATTCGCAGCCTGGTGATATAATAATTGTGTTAGATGAAAAGGAACATTCTTCATACATGCATGTTGGAACAGATTTAATGTTAAAAATGCCGATTCAGCTTGTAGAGGCCTTGTGTGGTTTCCAACGAGTGATCAAAACTTTAGATGATCGGGATTTGATTGTTACATCAATGCCAGGTGATGTCATCAAACACGAAATGACAAAATGTATAATGGAGGAAGGCATGCCAATGTTTAAGAACCCATTAGAAAAAGGTCGTTTGCTTATTCAATTTGAAGTCGTTTTCCCTGAAACTATGCCGGTATCAGTGATTCCAGCTCTAGAAAAGTGCTTGCCACCAAGACCAGAAGTAACCATTCCAATTGATGCTGAGGCTGTCAATTTGGTAAGTTTGAGTTTACATTTTAAATTTAGTATTTCTTAACTATTGCAAATGACTTTTCAGGAGGACTTTGATCCTAAACAACGTCGGCAGCAACAGCGTATGGCTTACGAGGAAGATGAACGTTATGAAGAAGGGCCCAGAATACAGCAGTGCACATCAGCCTAAGCGCAAACATATTTTGAATAACATCTCAAATAAGAACTAACGATTATCCTAAAATAACTTCATTAAAATACTTATATTCAATATTTACAACACCGGCAACTTTGTACTGCAGTACAAAAACAGTTTACGCTATTTGAATTCTAAAACATTTTGGTCTTTATTTATTATTCTTGTTAAACGCAAAACAATAAGTAAAATGTTTTTTTTTAGAGAAAATCGAAGCAACTAGTTTATATATTATGCATTAATGAACACAACTAAAATTAAAATTAAATACACATATTTTGAAAACGTAAATGGTTCGTTAAAAGGTAATAAAAATAGCATTTTTTTTTCTTCAATTACAGCAAAAAGATAACATCATTAAGTTTGTGGTTGATTGCAAAGGAAGTTTATAAAGAAATTAAAATTACTCCAACGAGGTAGGGATTTTACAGTAACCAAAGTTCTAAAACTGACGTTAAGTAAAAATTAAGTCAGCAATGTTGAAGACTTAAGTCAGTATAGCAACGCAAGTTACGACTGTTAATAAAGATAAAGCAATTAAGTAGTAAAGTAATTTGCTCTACAAGCGAGATTACTAAGAGGAAGGGACTATAATTAACACTAGCAAAAAAAACAATGTCAATAAATAAGGTTGATTAATTAATTGTTATTAGTCTACGTCTAGATGCTGTATTGGGGAAGCAAAGTGCATATTTTTGTGCGATTTATATACTGAAATATTTTTTTTTTAAAGATATTCTAATATATTTTTCAGTAATGTGTTTCGTGACTTGCATTTTTTAATTAGAAAATTTTCTAGCAGTCACTATTTGAAACTGATAACAAATTTTCAGCAAGTGATAATGAAAATATTCATTTTAATGTGGGTGACTCACCTTAGAGTACATTGTTTTTTTTATTTAATATTTAAAACTTATTTAACATAATTTCTTAAAGCGGCTACCACGCCTATTCCGTAACTTAACTTCTTTTCAATTCTATTCCAACATGTCTCTTGAGCCACTGAGACGCTTTTAAGTGTTTGAACAACTTCTGGCAATTCTATTAAGGTACTGCCATGTGCGCGTAAAAATACACTCAGGTACGATTGTGCCAGTTCGAAATCTTTATTTGTTGAAAATGTGTACTCTATAGTCTTCAAGAACTGAACCATAGCAGCTATAGATGCACTTAAGGGGTGTAGAGATTTTATTTCATAATCCACCATTGACGGACCCAGTTTTTTTAAATAGTTGATTGGTGGTTCATAATTATTTGCTGTTTCAGTTTCTTCCAAAAGTTTAGCTAAAGTTGTCATATTATTTAGTGGTGAAGTGTTCAAAATTTTCGAGTGTACATTGGCTTCATTTACAGTTGCTGTAAGGTCAAACTTCATTTCTGGACCAGCAATAGTGGGCAAAAAAAATGGTGCTTGTTTCGGAATTTTTGGCGCCGACTTCGGTTTGTTTCGTTTTTTAATTATATCCAAATCGAGGAGATTTTGCCAACGAGATGCTGCTACACCAGACAAAGTTATAAGTTCTTTTGAAAGTTGCGTTTGAGTCTCGTATTTAAATTCAATTTCTTCGCCTTCGTCTTCATAAGCATCCAAAGACATTTCTTGGACTGCTTGGTTTAAAACTATATCGTCATAAGCATTTGATGGTAATCCTACCAAAGGAGCTTTTTCGTATGGATTTATAGAACGCAATGAGAGTTGATTAAAAAGCGTCCTGTTTGCCCATAAATAAATACCCAAATAGTTTACATGGGCGGTTGCAAGAAAATCACCAGTAGGAGACATAGTCAGGGAAACACATGGGCGTTCAGTTCTGAAATGATCGATCATATAAGTCGAAGGAATGTCCCATACTTTAATAGTCGCATCCATAGACGCTGTTATAAGCCAACGACTATCTGGGCTAAAGCAAATGTCGTTTATTTTGGTTATGTGTCCCTCAAACTTTCTGATAATGACTTTTGTATCAGTATCGACTATGTAAACAATGAAATTGACTAATGCTATGGCAATCATGCCACTTTCGCGATGGGAACGCAAAAGATCAATGCCGTCACTGAATTTAAGTGTTAGAGTTGGACTTGTAACTAAAAGTAAATTTTTGATATTAAAAGACAATCAAATATCGGAGTTATTAATTCAACTATACCATTGCCTTTGAAGGGCCAGAATTTCAGTAAACCAGCCCCACAACCTGAAGTAACAAATTGATTTAAATTATCGCTAGCTACACCTCTTACAGAGCTTTCGTGAGCAGGTGCACCATAACTACATCTGTGTATACCTGACTGTATGTTAAAGCGTTCTAAATCACCAGTAGAATATCCTGGTACATAATATGAGAACACGTCAAAATATTTATCACATACATTAAAAATACTTAATACCTATTATGGCGAAGTTTCCACAACTGGACAATGTTATGCTTGTCGTTTCGGCATTTAAGTCTGTGCGGTTTCTGTTTTCAAACTTAGTAGGTATTAAGCGGTGTTCCCCCATACAGCATCTGTGAAAAGACCAAGTGGTGGTCTGAATAATGCCACTATGTATTGCTGCTATACTGTCCCATTCCTTCTCACGCGTTGTTTCTGTTGTAAATTGTACGATTGGAGGCATGCGAAGCCAGTCCTTTTGAAATCTATCTATTGTATAAATCGATAACAATGCACTACTGTGTAACTAAAGAGAAGATAAAAAAACTTACTCTTTTTTTTAGAAGCTTTACGATTATAACTGGCTTTGCCCATGCTTTTATTAAAAGTTTCCGAAATTGTGCTAAATATACGTAACGAGCTATCTTCACCAGATGATAATATAGACGAACCACTATTGCCATAGTATCGAATGCATAATGGAGGTTTAGTGTGTCCTTCGCGAATCCGTAATAGGCGCGCGCCACCGTCCGACATATCAAAAATCCATAGCTTCATAGAATTGTCTGGGGATGTGGTAAGAAGTAAAGGTTCATTAGGAAAACATATAGTTGTTGTAACTTTTCCTTCGTGAACTTTTAATTGACTAGCAACCTGTGATTTGGATATTAATCAGAGAAATTTGAGTATAGGAGCACAAAATATAATTTTTGCTTATGTATTTTGCAGTATGTTATAATATTTACCTTTCGTTCTTCTAAATTCCAAAACGCAACATTACCAGTAGCACTTGATGAAACCATAATTGGTGGACCATCGGTCCGAAAACTGATCTTTGATACCATCCCCCAATCTTGTTTAAATTCCATAAGAATTTCGTCGTATTTAAGATTCAATAACACAATACAACCGTTATGGTACCCAATAGCAACAACATCCAAAGCCGGAGATGCTTCCAAGCAGGTTATAGCACACTTACGCGCAGAAAATGTATAAATCAGACGATTTTCTTTCAAGTTCCATAATTTAATTATGCCCTGTTCTGACCCAATTAGTACTTTATTCACATAAGTCGGTGGGTGAGTTACTGCTGTAATTAGGAACTCGCTCTTGTTGAACGGGATTTCAAAGTATACATTTTCTGAGACAACATTCCATACTTTTAAAACGTTTGCTTCATCCACTGTCACCAAGAAACCACCAAGTGGCAATATAAGCCACACATTGCTTGTTCCTTTGTAGACATGGCGTCTATGCTTACCAGACCGCCAAGCATAAATGCACTTATCTGAAGCCGTATATATATAGGTGAGGTCTATCGCTAGTGCAGTAATGTCGTCAGCATGTATCGGGCTTACGTGCAGCAAGCGAAAATGGCTCGCAGTATAGACTTGAAAAGTTCGGCCAATGCAGGTAGCAATCAAGTTGTCACTTCGTCTCACAACGTAGCGTGTTACTGCGCCAATATGATTGCTAACGTAGCCGACGCTTCGATTTTGACGAAATATTTTGCTGGCACTTCTCTCATTGCCAATACTTGTCTCAGAGTCCATATTCGTCATTACAAAAGTGATTTTTTATTTGCAGAATTTTTATTTTGTTTACTACTTGACTTTAAACAACGTTGTTTGGTGCAACTCACCGCGTGTTGTAACGTCATTCTGATCAGCTGATTAAGTCACTGGGTGTCTCACATTAAAAAGAATTGTAATAATTTTTTAGATGCATTGCTTATAAATCATAAACTGAAATAAACAAAATACTCTTCACTTTTCAGATGTAGGCATGTTCTTTTCTGATTTAAATGGTGAGGCTTATGAAGTGGGTGGCAAACCACCTCCAGCAGACTAAAGTTAAAAAGTTCTAAAAGAAATTATTGATTTAACGATATTAAAAAAGTAATGACGTTCAGAAGAGTTGACATTGCATTTACCTATTAGGTCACCAGTTAACTTTAAAAAGTTGGTAATGTTAGGTTGGCCGTTGTGCTACTACTACAGATTAGCATTAACCATATATATATAGACAAGAAGTATCTCCAAAAGGGGCACAGTGTTTACCGTATAGACAATTACGTATAGGCTCTTCTCTCCTCTCCTTTCAGAAGGAAATGATTCAACCTGATAAGTTTATAAAATTGACTAAGTACTTAATTTTGCAGTCAAAAAGATAAACTACTCTAAATATTCTTAATCTTCTATTGACCAAAGATAAGCATTGACAAAGGTGAAACACTCATTCCTCATCTTTTTCAGATCCATAACCATAAAAATTGTCATTAAAGAGTATGTAGTATGTAGTAACCAGTCAGCTATAATACCCTAGCAAGTTCCGTTTTAGTTGAAGCAGCTGAGTGGTATCTTTTTTGTTTAGTTCGGACAAGGTCGTTCTTGCAATCTGACTGGTATTTTTATCTCTATCTGAGTATCTAAGAATAGCCATTACTTCTGCCTGAAAGGCACTGAAGTGATTCGATAGTAGAATATGCTACTGCCTACTCTTTCATCTATTTTTCAAATTTAGCTTAATAAAAATGATTGAAATATAATAAGTAGAATATAATAGAAAAAAATTGAACAAAATAAAATATTACAGGACTCTGTAAGTACTGCCACCGTATTAAATCTCTTGTACTAGCTTACTAGATAATCTTCATTTATTTGAATATAAATATGTTTAAAAAAAGTTGTTGGATTGTTAAAAAATAAAATTAAACAGAGTCTACGCACCCATTTATTTGAAATGTCATTTGGTCGTTACATCTCATTTGACCTGTAACTTGCCAACAGCAGTCGATCAAATTAATCATCAAATTTGTTGTTGCCTTTAATCGATTAAATTCTTTCTTAAGCTTAGCGATTGTCAAAAACTTCACTTTTTGGGTTTTTTTAAATTTAATTAAAGACCTACTTATGGGTTTTCTAAATCTAAGATGAGGTTCCGGCTTATTCACAAAATTCTAATAATTCGATCAATTTTTTCGAAATACAAAGGGTTTTATGTCTATATTACACCTATATACAGATATCCTCATTTTTCCTGAGGCGGGGTAACAAGAAATGGTTGAACATTTATTATTTTATTGTCCAACGGTGTCCAGATGAAGGGTTTTACTCTGGTATATTACAGCTTCAAACATTTCTATAAATCTGTTCTCCACTGATAACACAATGGTCTCATATATAATTATAATAATTTGTGCAAGACAATTTCTTAAAAGCATAAAAACTCCATTTTTGAAGAAGCAACTTTTAATCCTTTATTTTAAGTATGTGATAATAATAAATATTTATTTATTGAAATGTTGTTAATAAAATAACAATAAAATAAGAAAATTCAAGCGTTTATGTTTCAAAAATAATAATATATAGTTTTATTTTTATACAATGTGTACGTGCACTTTTTACATGAAAATCTGAAATTTCCAGCCCTAAAAATTTCAGTTCTCCGTGTTAAGTAAAAAAACGATTACTTCTAGTTTTGATATGCATTTTCAGTATTTAATAAAGTTGTCTGGCGCATGCAGCATGAACGTGTATATACAGATTTTTTTTAATTGCGGAAAAATTGATATTTAGCTATTTAATAGACGTTAACTTATCTAAACGATAAGATTTAATTGAAAGCGTTGTCTCGGTTATAAACTTCTCCGGACATGGGATAATCAATTTCGTTCAATCGTTGCGACAATTTCGAACGACTTCCATACTAAAACGAGAAAAATAAAGTTGAATATATTTAACATATAATTTTTACAATGTAAATGAATTATTACTTACTTGAGGTTTAAGAATTTTAATCAAATGATATCTTGGAATTGTGTTAAGCTCATTTTCTGAAAATATGGAAGGCTC